GAGGGCAGGGGAGCGCGGGGGGGGACCTTCCCTGCTCCCCGCCGCTGACCGTCGCATCCTTCTCTTCTCCCCTCCCCCCCGCCTCGCAGCCGCCCAAAGACGACAAGAAGAAAAAGGACGCGGGCAAGTCCACCAAAAAGGACAAGGACCCGGTCAACAAGTCCGGCGGTAAAGCCAAGAAGAAGGTGAGAGCCCGAGGCGGCCTAGCAGGCGGCAGGCCCCAAGCCCGCCGTGAAGACCGGAGCGCGGGGGACACAGCGCGGGGGTGCGGGAGGAGAGCGCGGGGGCTCCCCAGGCCTTCCCCGTGTGCCAGATCTACAGGGCGTGTGGCTGGGAGCTCCTGGCACCGGGATGGTGTGTGTGTGGGTGCCATCGTGTTAGAGGAGCTGGCTGTCCATCCGGCAGCGAGCTGCATGTGGTGGTGTTAAAACCGAGTAACAAAAGGCTTCAGTCCTTCTGTTTTGAGATACCATAGGTATTTCCTGCAACGTGTGTGTTTGTAAAGTCTATCTTGTGCATCTCATCAGTCCTCAAATTTGGGATGTGTTACGGAGATGTTGAATGCTGTGCTTCTTTTGCTCAGTCTTTTGTTATTGCTTCGAAGATGGCTTAGTGGGGTTTTTTTCCTCTTTTCAAGTAGAAGTGGTCCAAGGGGAAAGTGAGAGACAAGTTGAACAACCTTGTCCTGTTTGACAAGGCCACCTATGACAAACTGTGCAAAGAAGTGCCCAACTACAAGCTCATCACGCCTGCAGTTGTCTCGGAGAGGCTGAAGATTCGGGGCTCCCTGGCTAGGGCTGCCCTCCAGGAGCTGCTCAGCAAAGGTAAGTGCTCAAAACTGGAAAAACAGAAAGCAGCTTCGCTCTTTTCTTCTCCTTGCTCACCTAGAAGATTTCGTACTGCATCTGAAGTACAAAAGTTGGCGTTTTTGACGAGCCACAGCCTTAGCTTGCGTTTCAGAAGTGCTCCGATGTAAGGAGCAGAGGCTCCGCTGCATTCAGTGGTGTTGCTATGCTAAGAAAATGCTGCCAGAAGGACAGTTGAAACATAACCGCTGCCAGACCTGAACAAAAGCCTTGTATAAGCGTGTGTAGTATTGGGTACCCTGGTGTTTCCTATTGCACGTTGTCCTCTCTGCCGCTTTAGAAGGGAGCACATCATCTCCAGTGTCCTCCAGTACATGTGCACTCAAATAATTTCATTTTTTTGTAGGCTTGATTGCACGTTGTCCTCTCTGCCGCTTTAGAAGGGAGCACATCATCTCCAGTGTCCTCCAGTACATGTGCACTCAAATAATTTCATTTTTTTGTAGGCTTGATCAAACTGGTGTCCAAGCACCGAGCCCAAGTGATCTACACCAGAAACACAAAAGGTGGAGATGCACCTGCCGCAGGGGAGGACGCGTAAGCAGGTGAGACGGTGGGCTCCGTGACAGAGCCGGGTGGTGCTTTGTCAGGGGCCAGCAAAGGGCTGCGTGCGGTGTACTGAACAGTCGCGTTGCTTTGGATGAGCCATTTCTCCAGACATTCAGAGGACGTCGCTCGCGCACCGAACAACATCCTGGGTGGCGTTACTGGAAACAGGGGTTCTTGAGAATTTCAGAGCAATTTGTGATTTTGTCGGTGTTGCTCAGTGGATGAGGAAAGCTCTGTGTGTTGTCACAGGGGGCTGCAGGGTACCTGGGCACATGTCCTCCCTGCTGTTGGAGGGCACCATGTCAAAGTGCTCTTGTTTGAGCAGAGCTTTCAGACCCTTTGTGCTAGCTTGCTTTGACCTGTGGTGATCTGACTTGGGACTTCTTGCTTTTCAGGTTCTCCGGTGACTGTGTCAGCTATGTGTCATATGTAGATGCACCCAATAAAATTATTGAAATAATTTTTCTTGCTTTTTCAAGACTGTGTACGTTTCGTTATTCACGCATTATTGATAGTGGATTCTGGTACAGGTCACGGCTGGCTTCCTCTACCAGCCAATGTTTGCATTTATACAGTCTTACGAACGTACCGTGAATGTGCTTTTATATTGCACAAAGGGGAGAAACTTTTGCATCGCCTACAGCAGCCAGTGAGGTTAAACTAGATTCAGTTCCAATAGGAGGAAAATTGAAGACCATTTCTTGCACTGTAGATAGGGAAGGCGCTAGTGGGATATTTTCATTATTTATTTAAACTCCTTCTAAACAAGCTGTGCCCACAGATCTCTGCGTGTACAAGGCAAGAGCAACTGTTGGGTCAGTGTCTAGTGGGGAACTGCAGATAAGCAGCTCGAAATAAGGCTGCAAGTATTTTATTTAAATTAAAGGTACAAACTGCCCACGGCAAAGGTCTCTAAGGCCTCCTTTCTTCTACTGAGGACTAATTAGTCATCCTTTAGGTGAGGCAGAATGAGTGAAAGTACTATCAATTAGAACAAAAGCATCAGGCACGCACGTCATCAGTTGCCCAGCAAGTGCGCCCTCCATCTGAAATGAGTTTTCAGTTGGTCTACTAAGAGGTAATTTTAAACAAAAGTTTATTTCTCCAAAACTTATTTCTTTAACGGGACGTCACGCTCCATAAGGTGGGCTTCTTGCTGGCAGGATCTGCCTCTGTGTAGCTTAAGACTTCAGAAATCGATGCCCTGATGCATGCCGTGGGTCGGTTGCAGGGGGCGTGGATCTGCCGCGACTCTCCCTGGTAGAGTAGCTTTCCCTAACAGTGCTGTTGTCACCCTGCCTTCCTGGGGACCAAGCGCATCTAGATGTATATATTAAGTACGCTAAATTCAGCGGCGGCAGCACCAACAAAGCTGCAGCTACCTATGGTCCGCCTTTCCACGAGAGTCAGAGCTTGGTTTCTTGAGTGCTACTCTTCTGATCACCTTTTTTTCTTCTTTTCCCCCGATTCAGTTCTAAACTGATGCCTGAAAGAGAGCATAGAAGTCATAATGCAACAGCCTTTAGAAAGAGATAATGAACACCGCCTCGTCTAATGAGTAAGACAGTGCTATGCACAGTGTTTGAGAACAGGAGCTCACGCAATTTTTTTCCAGTTATCTGGGTGAGCTGTAGCAGTCTCCTCAGCTAGCTGACACAGGTTTCTAGTGTGGTACAAGGCGCCGGCAGGACAAGTGCGTGTACGTGAGGCCGTACGCGGGTCTGAAAGGTGAGCCGAGCTCTGCTGGGCAGACACCTTTGCATGCGCAGCCTCTGCTGCTGCGTTCCCCCTCACAAGTCACTTGCGCGCTGCCCTGGGACGACAGCAACGCTCTGCCTGGACTGAGCACTGCCTGGCACTACTGGTTTGGGCAGTAAGACATCGCCTTGTGCTTGCTGCTACCCCAAAGCCTGCTCCGTGGGTAGCCTGACTGGAAGTAAGCCTCAGACCCTCCGCTGGACACCAGTCTGTGCTGCTGTGCGCCTTACCTGGACTGCCACCTCCTGCCGTGATTCCAAACCCGCCCGAAGGAAGGGAGCCAGCTGTCTCCTGTCTGGGAGGTATGGTCAAAGTTGGCACCAACGCGCTCTGCTGGCAGCTTTTTCAGCTTCTGCTTCTCCTCTAAGAAAATATTTTGTGCAGTGAAGTTTTTCAGTCAGATATTGCTTTTGATTCTTTAGTGTGGTAAAGGGAACGTCAGGTTAATGGAAACGTATACAGCCCGCTCACTTTGTTTGAGAAATTCCTCATACGAAGGTCCGATTTGTTGTTTACTTCCATCCTCCTCTTCCTCCATTAGCCACGGAGGTTTTGCTCCTAGAAGTTGTGGGGAAAATGTATTTAGCCACTGAAGTTCCCCTAAGCTCGAGGTAGGGAAAAGCGTCCCCTCTTCCCCCTGTCCCTGCAGCTCGCTCTGCCAAGTAAGCAGCAAAGGAAAAGTAAGCTTTGGGCTGTGTAAGAAAAAGCAGCTGGCTCGCCTCACTTAAGGCCGTGGCAAAACGCACCCCAAAGCACACACACCACGCAGCACCAGCAGAGTTTTCTTAATACAGAAGTGTTTTCTTCCCCTCTAGTATGTCAAGCCTTGGCAAAAGAGTGAGCGCCTCCTGGTTATGCTGTAACTGCTTCAAAATTGCTTTACATTATCCCCCTTCCACTTGGAAGCCAGGAGTTTCCAGCAGGGTGGCAACCACACAGGCCACCAGACAGGTGTGATTACCTGTGTGCACGTTTCCTTTCCCTTCTGTTTCCTGTTAACAGAAACACAGAACACACGTGAGAAACTGATGCATTTAAGAGTATCTCTAAACAGAATGGCATCATGTGTTCTCTTACAAAAAGACAGAGGGAGGCTCTTCTCTACTTTCTTTTAGCGTTTGTTGTTTCAGGCCGTGTTAAAGAACGTTTGCTTAACAAAACGCAAGTTAACACTGGATGACCGAAACTCTCAGCTAGGTGGTGGCCTGCACCTGCAAAGCTGCCTTTTTTGGTGATGGAGGCTGCAAACCCCTTGTTTAGCCTTGGAACACGTGCTGCGTGTAACCTGCAGTCACATTTAAGTCATGCTCGTTAGTGAGTCACCCCTACCTGGTGGCCGATGAAGGTCAAAGCCTGGCCTGATTCCATCCAGTTTAAGTCAGGTCCTGTCTGCATCCCGCTGGGGCCGGGCTGCTCTGTGTCCCGCGAGGAGTCCCTGGAATAGAGAGGCCGGGAGGCAGCCCGAGAGGTGAGTGATGGCCAAAGCCGGATGGGCAATGATTGTCCGGAGGTGTCTGGAGCAGAAATTTGTGTTTGTGTGTGGAGCTTTGCAGTAAAAAGGAAAAGGAGACGCGTTCTTGGGGCATGATAACGTTACACGCTTGCGTGTTATGGCTGCGCCTGCTCTTTATGGCTGTTAGTGCTCAGCCACCAACGTGTGGACGGGATGGC